CAGCATGGCCTGGTCACAGTGCCCATCAGGAGCTGCCACTGAGGCTCTGCTGTGGCACAGGCTGTTCCCTGGGTATCCCAGCTGTTCCCTTGGTATCCCAGCTGTTCCCTGGATATCCCAGCTCTCCATGTGCAGCCAGTGAGTCCGGAGTAATTGCAGTGAGTGATGGCAGGAGAGTATGTTCATGCTCATTAGAGACAAATTGAGCTGCCTGCTGAGAGGGGAATAAAGAGGCATTTACCAGCCTTTCTCAGTGGCTGTGTTTGCACAGAAACATCCCCTCTATGGGCTTCAAGAGCTGCTTTGACTGGAGTCTCCAAGGAGTGGGTGGTAAAAGAGGACTGCCTGAGAATGGTGGATGGGGATGAGGATGAGGTGGTCTCTCTGATCTGCCCATGTTTTAGAAAACTTGGCCTGGGGACATGCAGAGCTGGCTTTAAAAATATGGAGACTCAGCCAACCGTGCTGGAAAAGCTTTACCACCAGGGGAATCTGGCTGAGGTTTTGGGTTAATCTCCTCCACTAACTCAGGCCCCTCAGGCTGTTTACATCAGTTGACTGCAGAGAGATCACCCACCAGCTCCCTCTGTCCCTCCAGGCTGGGCTGGTTTCCACAGAGTACAACCTCTTTGGTGCCACCTTTGTGTGCAAGTTTGTTGGTAGGAAAAGAGTGCATTTGTGCTTTGGGTGAAGAGGGAGAGGAACCAAAATATCTTGGGACATGGTTGAGTTCAGCTGCTCATGGGACTGGCAGTGTCCCATCTCTGCTCCCAGGGAAGGATGGGGCTGCAGCCACTGCAAAGTAGAGGCTGGACACAGAATCCCAGAATGTGCTGAGCTGGAAGGGACCTCCAAGGATCATCCAGTCCAACTCCTGGCCTTGCACAGGCCCATCCCCAAGAGTCCCCCCCTGTGCCCCAGAGGATCATCCAAAGCCTCCTGCAGCTCTGGCAGCCTTGGGGCTGTGCCCACTGCCCTGGGGAGCCTGTTCAGTGCCCAACCAGCCTGTGGGGGAAGAACCTTTTGCTGAGATCCAACCTAAACCTCCCCTACAGTTTTGGGGGGAGTGTTGATTTCCTGAAAACCCAGCCCTGCACTCTCACAGTGTCCTGTCCCTGCAGTCTGTGCAGTGAGTCCCATCCTAGCACCCCTACCCAGAGACTCCAGGATTATCTTAGATAGTGAAGTGATTTTGCTGCTGGATATTGAAGGCCAGTCTGCTGGAGCAGCCTTTTTCTGCACCTTCTCCTCTCTCACACCAGCAGGGAACAGCTTCTAACCTAAGGAAGACATTGGGAGACATTTCAAGGCCAGGTTGGACGGGGCTTGGTGCAACCTGGGACTGTGGAAGGTTCCCCATGGCAGGGGGTGGAAGGGGCTGAGCTTCCAACCCAAAGCATTTTCTGGTTCTGTGATTTGCCTGCCAATGATTATGCAATGCAGACTGAACCAGAGGAAGGGGGCCAAGTGTTTCAGGTGTCTGCTGGCAGAGGCTGCAAATTTGGCTCTAGAGACAGAGCTTGTTGGCTGGACAGCTTGTCCAGGAGCCCTGCAGGGTGCTGGCCACATATGACCTGGCACTGTCCCCAGCGAGCTCTGACTGCAGGGCCTCTGCCCATTCACTCCAACCATTTGTAGGCACTCAGGGATGCCCTGACTCTGTAAGGCACAGCTTTGTAAACTCATGTAAATGGCTCCTTTTTCCTTCCCACTGGGGCAGAATAAGCTGGGAGTGACCTTCATCCATGTCCCTGCTCCTGGGCTCCCCTGTCACTTTGCCAGGAAGTGTCCAAGGCCAGGTTGCTCCTCTGAGCAACCTGGTCTGGTGGAAGGTGTCCCTGCCCATGGAAGGGAGGTGGAACAAGATGAACTTTAAGGTCCATTCCGACCCAAACCAATCCATGGTTCCATGATTCTAATAAATTCACTCCCAGTATAGTGCACTCAGATTTACTCATTGCATGTGTATGTGGGGAATCCTGACACCGAAGGACTATTTCTGTGGAGATTTGGGTGTCCCCTGGAGCTGGCTGGGACATGGCACTGCTGAGTGACCCTCAGGAGTAGCAATCCTCCTTCTCCCCCAGCCAGGTCCCTTATTGGCCCAGCTGTGAGCACTGGGGGTGCTAATTCCTGATTTTCACCCATCCCTGTTAAGTCTGAAGGTGTTTTTCCAAGGCAGCCTGGTAGCTGGTAATTGGATGGATCAAAGAGTTCAAGGAAGGGATTTAGTCAAATGTTGGATTATCTGATTAATTGCCTTCCACTTCACGTATTTTTCCCAAGGTAAATTCAAATTAGCACCTGTTGAAGAGCCCATTAGTCACTGTCTGGGCTCTGGAGCATTGGAATTCAGAGACTTTCTGGGTTGGAATTCAAAGGCTCTCGATGTAACGGCAGATAATTTCTCTTTGTCCCAAAAGCCCAAACCACCTTCTTGGGTTGTAGTTAATAAAACACTACATGGCCCCAGCACAGAGCCACCTCTGCCACACATGTCCCCAGCCTGACCCTGCTGCCCTGCTCTCCAGGACATGATGGGTTCATCTTCCCATCAGCCACACAGGTGGTCAGGACAATTGGATCTCAGGGCAGGCACTGCCCTCACAGAAGGGCTGTGTGGAACAGAGGAGCCCTAAACCAAAGGCTGAAGGATTTTGGCATGGAGATGGAGGGGGTAAACATGGAATGGTGATGGTTGTGGGTGTGGTCTCAGCACCCCGTGGAAGCTCAGGCTGTAACAAACTCGTTCCTAAGCCCAGACCACCTGGGCACAGCTGGATCAGGTACAGCAGGTTTTCCCCAACTGCAGTGGATGGAGACAGGTTTTTTATCCTGGCTGATTTGTCCCAGGCTGTGACTCAGATTTCCAGGAGCGCCCCAAAGCCAAGCTGTTCTGAAGCTCTTCAGAAAACCAAGTTCCTCATTGCAGGCGACCACTGACAGGACAAGAGGAAATGGGCCTCAGGGGAGGGGCACCTTGGACATCAGAAGATTTTCTTCCTGGAAAGGGTGGCAGAGCCAGCCTTGGGGGAGCTCTGGGACACTCTGCTCTGCCAAACAGAGGGGTAACAGCACCCTGGAGCAAACCCAGAGCAACTGTTTTTAAGGTGATGAGCATAGGAAAGATCATTTTCCATCCCATGCATGTTTTTCCTCCTTAGTTCTGCTCCCCGGTGCTCTGGCAGATAGGTCTGGCTTTGCAGCTGACTCAGCTGTGCCCAAAGCTGATCCCAAAAGTTCCAACATTGCCCTGGATTTAGGGGTCAGAGGAACACAGGAACTCAGCGTGACTCAGCAGCAGCAAAGCCAACACTGCTCTGAGATGTTCCAAGAGCAGAGAGGTCCCAGGGCAGGGAGGTGACTCCAGCCCCTGGGGATGACTGGCTGAGACCAGCACACACAGTAGAGGGATGATAAAAAGCGAGAGAGCGCAAAAAAAGAACCATAAAAATGATTTGAGGGTAGGAGAGGACACTTTGAAGTGAAGGATTTAAAACCTCAACCTGTTTAGCTAATTGAGGAGACATTTGAAAGACAATGTGCTCACAGCACAGAGCAGCTTAATGTGGAAAAACACCAAGTTCTGAAAGGCTCCTCAATAGATTGGGAAAGGTAACAGGGTCAGTGTCTGGGAGCTGGAGCCAGGCACGTTCATTGTGGGGAAAATGTGCAGATCTTTACCAGGAAAGATGCTACAGGAATGAGCACCCACTGAACTAATGAACTCTCTCTCTCTCTCTCTCTCTCAATTATTTAAAGGATTACTTTTGAGTAAGATGTGTCCTTGGTCTGGTGTGGTTTCACCCACCACATGCTCTGTGGAGCAGCCCAAACTCCAGCCTGTGACACCACCCAGACCTCAGGGTGATTTTGAACCAGCGGTCTCAGCTCCCCACGGGCTTTGCAGAGAGACACGTCTGTGTTTCACCTCCAGCTGACCTCCCACCTGCGTCAAGAGTCTGTTCAGGCAAACACACATTGTCCTGGCCACTCTTTGCAAGTGGAGGTGAAAAGCTGAGTTAATCTTCGGTGGAATCTAAAAGAATTGGATAACCAAGTGTTTGTGCAGCAGTGACCTGGGGAAGCACCAAAAATCCCCCTTAGAGCTTTGCATGTGGTCCTCACCCACCTCCTGGCAGCTCTGCATCTCCAGGGGTGAGCAGGACCTTCCTCTGGGTCTGTCAGCCAACACACCCCCTGCTTCCTTCCAGTCCAAATGGGTGTGTGGAAGGTCTCACTGTGCACTGCCCTTTCCTTTGTGTCTTGCCCATCCACCTCTCTGAAATCCACATTCTGCTACGGGTTTAACCAAAGAGCACTTTCCTGCAAGACTAAAAGTGTTTCTTGCTGGCTTATCTGAAGATGGGTGTGGGCAATGCACCATCTTGGGCTGCTCTCTGCTACTGGATGCATCTTGATTTCCCAGTACAACACTTGGCTGCCACGTTGTCTTAGAAGCCATACATTATTAAAATAATTATAAATATTTATTATACATGCATCTTGTGTATAACACCATGGAGAGCTGCAAGGATTTAGCACAGCTTTGAGATGGGGCCTCAGGGAATGTTTGGAGGAACCCTCCCTACTTGTCATACTGTGATCAGCTCATCATAAGGGAAGGTGGGTGATGAGTGTTGGCCAGGGTGAGCAGGAAGCTCTCTTGGTGTGTCTTACATCAATCTCAGCCTGTTCTTTAGGCACACAACATCAAACCAGACAATTCACTGTGTGCACATGGAGGCTGAGGGGGAGAGGTGCCTCCTGACAAAGCACTTCTTTACTCTCCTCCTTTGTCAGTGTTAATAGAGGTTTTTTATTGTTATCTGCATCAGTTCATCCCAGTTGTCCCATTCTCCTGCCTGGCACTGCTCCCAGATGCAGAGGTCATCTGCAGTCAAGTCTGTCCCAGCTGGCAACCAAATGTCTCATTAATTTGCTGCTCGTTCCTGTCCCCACCCTCTGTGCAGGAGCCTGACACTTGGCTCCAGGAGTCCTCAGCCACATGCTGTTCATCCTGTCCCACCAACCTGGCCTGTGTCAGCACCAGATGCTGCCATCGACTCAGCCCAGATGTTCCTGAACCAAACCAGCTGGGGACAAGAGAGTCCAGAGAGCCACAGGTAAGGGAGGTGGCCTGGATAGCACAAAGGGAGGATCAAAGACCTGTGGGCAGGCAGAGCAAACCCCTAGGTTGGCTGAACACCGGGCCCTGCTGGCTCCTCTGTGGCCTCAGAGCAGAGCCAGGATTGGTTCTACAATTACCCTTGGAAGCACCTTCCTTGAGGAGTTAATTCACCCCTTGGGCTGCAGCAGAGGATGTGGAGCACAGAGGGAAGCACCCCCAGCCCAGAGGGGGAGGGGATTGTCTCTGGAAATTGCCCTGAGACATTGCCCTTCTCTCCAAAGCTGAGGAGCAGAAGCAAAGGCAATGGCTCCACTCTCCCCATGACTGAGGGATGAGCAGCTCTCAGCTCTGCAGATGGGCTGTTAACTGAACTCCATGGGCTGTGAGGCAGCCCTGGGAGCAGGAATCCCCATCAGGAAAGGAGCTGTTCCCAGGTCACTGCTGTGCTCTGAACACCTTCTTCCAGCTCCACCGGGCAGATGTGTTGCCAGCACTGGTCCCTTCCACTGTGAGAGCCCAGCAGGGCCATGCTCCCTGACTGAGTGCTTCCTCCTGATCCCTGAGGAGCAGCCACCCCCACCCACTGCCTGCACTTCCCAAATGAAAATGTCATTGGCATATTATGCATTATTAACTGAAATGCCTCCTGTGGACTTAGCCCATTACGTCTCTGCAGTTTGTGCAGTTACCTTTGTCAGCCCAACCTGCAACTGCATCATTTGTTTACTTGGCAAGACCCACGTCCTCTAAAGCCCCAAAGCCTGGCATTTAATTCAGCCTTAGAGGGATTCCACATGGCCTTTCATTCACCTTCTGTCCTCATCCATTTGGTTGTCCCATGTGGCCTTTTCATGAAGGGGCTTTGGAAATTCCCAGATATTCCAATGTGAGCAGCACTGGATGAGCAGTGGGCTCGGTGCTGCCTTGGGGAGCCACAGGTGTGTCGTTGAGCCCAGGAGACATTTACACCCCCATCTGATGGTGGGATTCACTGCCTGCCTCAGGGAGCACAGGCAAATATTTCCCAACATGCACAACTTGCATCAGGACCACCAGACTCTGTCCAAAGCAGAGAATTTGAGCAGAGAACATGTCAAGGCTCCCTGGGGGGTTCCTTCAAAAAAAACAGGAGCAGGTGGAAGGAGGTGCTTTGGGCCTGTCTTGATCATCCCTTGACACAGGGCCAGGATGTTTTTCCATATCTGATCCCTGAAATTACACTCAGTGCCACAGTCCTCTTCCCTCCCCTCCCCTCTCCTCCCTTCCCCTTCACTCCCTGTGCCTTGTGCTTCCAGCAGTGGGAAATGCTCCCTGGATGGGAGGATCTCCCAGGGGGCAGCAGTGGCAAAGGGGTGTTGGACTCTCCCCATTTTGGTAACAAATGGAAGGAAACTGCCAGCAATAAACTCCTTTGGTGGTGAATCGTCGATAGATCTCAAGCTATCAGACTGGTCCCAGCATGGACCAGACTAAGGTTGGACTTGATGATCTTTTTAACCTCAATAAATCTAAAAATAATAGAAATTCTCAGTTGTTTCTAAGGTCCCTTCCACCACACGTCTCCCTCTTTTCTGGGGCCCTAAACTCTGCCCTGTTTTGGTATAAGCACATCCAGTGCCCAAATCCAGCTGTGTTCTGACCTCCCTTTGGAGGAGTTTCTTTATCCAGTTTTGCAGGCAGCTTCAAATATTGACCATTTTGAGTCTTTTTCCCCACAAATATTCACCTTCATGCAGCCCTGCAACTTTTCAGCTGAAGGAAGATGATTGTGCTTAAAAATTAAAACTTAAATTGTAGCTTAAAACAAAGAAACAAAACCAGTAAAAAAATCCAGTGCCATTTTCCATCAACAATTTCAAGCAGCTCTTTAACTTGAAAAGGTAAATTCTGCCTAATCTGCATAATTCTATGGTTCTCTGAGTTAAATCTTTGACTGGATTCAAAGCAAACACACGTTGTTTATCACGACCCCGTGCAATGTCACAGCAGGGTGACACTGTTGAAGGGTCACAGAGGGAATGCCCTTGTTTTTTCCCCAAAAATGTGCTTGGCAACATCAACCCCCTGAACCTCAAGGGTCCCCAGCTCCTCCAAAAGTCAGGCTGAGCTGTGCATGGAAAACATCTCCCTCTTTAGGACCTCCCCCTGCCCCTTGCAGAGCTGGCCCCAGTCAGGGGCATTCAGGGAGGGTGGCTCTGACATCTGGTGCCGGGTGTGTTCCTGCTGGGGTGGTGGTGGCACAGGGGAGGACTGGAAGAGGGAAACGCTGTGATGCCTCCAGAGAGCCTGGATGGGCAGCTCAGCCCCAAAAGCTTCCCCTGGGATGGGATGTGGGGGCTCCTGGCACGCTGGTGTTGCTGCCACAGCCTGTGCTGGGCACTCACAGAAACACAGAATGGTCTGAGCTGGAAGGGACCCCCAAGGATCACCCAGTCCAACCCTCAGCCCTGCCCAGGCCCATCCCCAAGAGTCACCCCCTGTGCCCCAGAGGATCATCCAAAGCCTCCTGCAGCTCTGGCAGCCTTGGGGCTGTGCCCACTGCCCTGGGGAGCCTGTTCAGTGCCCAACCAGCCTGTGGGGGAAGAACCTTTTGCTGAGATCCACCCTGAGCCTGCCCTGACACAGCTCCAGGCCATTCACA